CCCCCCCCCCCCCTTCTGTGTTCCCCTGAGCACTGGCCAGCAGCATTCCCTCCCGTTAGCAGTCCCCCATTCAGTTCCAGATTATCCTGATTCTCTTTGCCACTCACCTGCTCTGCTGTTGTGGGCTGCCAACACTACTTGTTTCACTACCTGAGGGAAAGTTTGGGATTTTAGGAGCAATGAATGGGGAGGATAGTGTTCAGTGGGGTAGAGGGAAGAGGGTAGGATTGGTTCCCATGCTAGTTCCACATTCTTATGGCCAAGAACATGTTGCCTTACTGAAATGGCATCTCCTGTTAGACGCCCCCTTTTCCCCCTCCCCCCCCAAAAGATTATAAGTACTGACCAGCACCAAGATGTTAAATGCTGGCAGTTGGTGGTTAAAGCAGTTAAAAAGGACACACATGTCACATGACTAAAAGTAAATTATATGAAGCTGTATAAATTCTTCATTGGTCAGAGTTCCAAACCTTCTGTTGGTCTGTCCTTCCCTCCATTCACCAGCGGAAAAGCAGGTCTGTAGCTGTTTACTTCCCTCGCCAAGAGTGCTGCCAAGGTGCCTTTGTAAGTGGCTATTACCCCAAGCCAATTGTATAAGCCTCCAGTCCCTTCATAATGTAAAAACGAAATTGGTCAGAGGGGTTAACTTCCATTGTGGGAGATAATTCTGCTATTGAGAGATCCCTCCTTAGTTTAGCTGGCTCCAGCAATGCCATTGTGCTGTCATTCTGATGCATGGAGCAGTACTTTTCATGCAAACACCAGCTTCAGTTGTCTGCAGTCCCAAAGTGAATATTGCTCTTGTGGTAGAGACATTTTCACTTTAAGAACCTCTTTATAGAGGCCTAAATTTTCAAACCAAGATGTGGCTACTTTCAGAAACTCTTTATGCCTTCCTTCAGCCAAAAAGTTAATCTGTTCAGAAACTTTGTAAAATTCTCTTCATCTGTGTTGCAATGATTGGGGGCCTTTCATGTGCTCAGAGAACTTTCTGTACATTTTTAAATCTAAAACCTAAGTTTTAAAACCTAAGTTTTAAAAATCAGGAATGCATTTCCCATGTTTTTCAGGAATGGCAAGTGTCTCTCTACATTTTAGGTTTGGTTTAGAAATAATCTGAAGATTGGATGTTGTCTGTGGCCTGCAGTTTCCTACTAACAGCATATCAAGATGTAGAACTGCAGTTATAGATCCCACCTGGAGTGCTGCACAGAAGCTGAATCTGTTTCCCAAGATCAGACACTAAAATTTGATGCCATGGAAATGTATCTCTGAATATTCTGAATCTTGTACATAGTGAACCACTATGGCAGGGGATTTCTAACTTACCATTTCTAATACATATGCTATACTAACATAAAGGGAACGGGGCCCATTGCCCTAATCTCTGTACAGACACTTTCAAAGACAAAAGTCCATGCTCCAAGGAACAGACAGTGTAGAAGGTATTGAGTTATAGATAATTGCAGTGGCTATGTAGTGCAAATAGCTTAAATGATGCAAGCACTCAAATGTACTCCTTCACCAGATAGCTGTTATCAGAATAATGGTCACTAATGTTTTCCTGCTACCTGTACTTTGTAATACCAGGAAAATGCTACTTGCAGTTATTTTCAGTTTGCTTTGAGTATGGGAGGGCAGCCTGTCCTGCATTTTAGAATTTCCATCATAACTTTCAATACAGTCTTCTGCATGGGGAAAACAGCAGGTGCAACATTATTTAAATGAAGTAGGGAAGATGCACCATTAGTATCTTAACTTGCCCCTATGCTGGGATAAGAGCTATCAGGCCAGCATCCTTACGCTTCCCGTATACTGGAGGCTTTTATCTTTACCTTTGGTTCCTGTATACTGGAGGCTTTTATCTTTACCTTCGTGTCAAAAGGCTTTGCGTGTGCTCACTTTTACATTTAGGAAACATGCTTACTTAGGGTACATTTAAAAACATAATCTCATCCCAGATAAATTCACATTTTCCATGAGAACAAGGGAAGGCATTCTCCATCAAAACAATCTGCACAAGCTTTGCTATCCCAAGAGCAATTACTTACAAAGGAAAAAGCCTCTCCTAAAATAACCCTTCTATATATACCCCACCCTTCCTTAAGCATGGGCTTGAGAAGAAGATGGGCTTTGCACTGCACCTTGAAGGTCAGCATACTTGGGCTATGAGCCAATGGGATAAGTTAAGGCTGTTCATTGGCCACTCTGCCACCAGTTTGCATTCTAAAGTCACAAACAGCAAGCCAGACACAGATGAAAAAGTGCTTGCTTCACTCCCCAAGTGCCCCCTGGAACTCCAGCAGCATCCAAACTTTAATCCCTTGGACAAACCTTTCACCAACAGGGGTCTGTACCATCCCTACTGTGCTCGGGGTCAGATGTCTTGCATTGCTTCTATTAAACCTAATGAGAATGTTGGCTGTTCCGTTCCATATCCACTTAGAATCCTCCATGTTCCTGTTTATAGCCAGGCACACTCTGAAGGCAGTCTTGGTAAAGAGAGAGGACAGACAAGATATTGCTGTGCTTTAAGCAGACCTCACTGCTTTCTTCTCCTGCTGCAGATCACAATGGTACCCAGTCAGGCCAGGTGGAGTTCACCAAGGCGTGGGAGGATTATTATAAGAAACTAGGTAAATACCTGTCTGCTACATCTTGTTTTTACACATAAGGGTTTATCTCAAATCAGCTTCTGACCATTTCCTTCCCAGCCTCTTCTAAAGCCAGCGCTGCTGCCTGGTTTCCATGGTCTCATTAGCATTGTCAAAGAGCCGGATGAATCACTCTTCGGAACAGACCTCCTAGGAACAAATTCTAGAATGTCCCCTTCTTTCACCAGCGCAGCCTCCCTTGTGGGAGGAGGGGCAGACCCCTCCCAACCTACCCTTGTATTTAGATTTTAATTACTTCCCCCCATCTTAAATAAACTAACTGGCCGGGTAAAACATTTTGCCGTGAAATGTATTTAGCGGCGTGTCCTTTCAGCCCACTGCAGACTGTAATTCTCCTAGAAGAAAAGGCATTGAAGGAGGTCCTTTGTTGGCATTAGCAGGTGGACAGTCAAGGCAGCCCTGACCTCTGCAAGAAAAGGTCTTGACTTGTAGTTTTGGTCAAGTCTTTTAACCCGCTTTTATGCCCCTGGACAGGACACTGCAGCCCTGTTTCCTCCACCCACTTCACACTTTCTCTGTGTATTATGTTCGCCCTTCCTCCAGCCCCCGCCACTTCAAAGCTCTCTTCAGCCTGTGCTGCAGTGCAGGGCAGCACCCCGAATGGTGTATAGAGAGAGAAGGCAGTTAGATGGCCAGGAAGAGCCTGCCTCCATTTTTTCTTTGTGCCTCCCGTCCTCCCCCACCAATTTAATGCATGCAGTGGCTTTCATGTAGCACTTACGCATTTTAGTTCGCCTGGCTTTCCTTGCTATGTCTCTAACTACCACATTGTCTGTATGGCTCTTTAGTTAGTGCACCGCTTGATTCTGCAGATTCTGTACATTAACCATAATGGAATAAGGAAGGGGGGTGCCCCGGCCCCAGGTGGCTGGCGTCTCCCCTGGTTGAAGCATAGACGTCCTGAGACCATTAACTGGATTGTTTGACTTTTTTTTTTCCCCAAAGGGTGCATGTGCTTCAAGGGACTGCAGAATATTTTATGAAATGATTGGCTCTCTTGTGCGAGGCAAGGCAGTTGTTCTCTTATTGGATCAACTTCTGTTGATGGGATACAAGCATTCATGTGTCTGCACAGCAGCACAGTCATGGAAACCCGTTTGCATTTATTGCCTTACAGCTAGGGTAGCACTGGTGTGTTCTGGGACCTCCCCTTCCCCCCATCTCTGAGCAACCTGTTTCATAGTGTGCAGCCCTGTTGCTGGAAGTGGAGTTTTTGGATCACTTTCAAATGCAAGGCACATCCTTGTGGGATGGCGTTGGTCATTTTGCAGCTCCCTTGCCACGCTTCACAAGTGGTAGGTTGCACTGGTTCCATTAAGTCTGAGCTAAAGACTGCATCCAGAGTATTGCAACCAGCTGGCACACATAGCCCCTGGAAGGTGCCTGAAATAGCACTTGTGTGTGGCCATAGGGCATCGGCAGATGCTGCGAGCTAGATCATCTTATTGCCATCTCTTGGTGGTGTGCTTCCAATCACAGGGGCTAGTCTAGCCCCTCAGCGTCCCTTCAGAGGCACCTACGGAATAGCATCATGATGCCAAGCTGGGGGACACGCTAATCGACGCTTGGCTTGGCAGAAACTGGGTTGTCAAGCAGGGATGTACGTCATGATGCCAAGCTTGGGGACACGCTAATCGACGCTTGGGTTGGCTTGGCAGAAACTGGGTTGTCAAGCAGGGATGTACGAACTTTTTTCATCCCAGCTTCCCCCTCTTTTGAATGTGAATTTTAACTGCCAAGTACACAGGCGGTCTTGCTCACTAGCACAGCCAGTGCTGCTCAGTCTTCCTCCTCCCACCATGGTTCTGCCAATTCTCCAGAGGTTGCTGGTGATGTCATCAGGTGGTTTGCAGACTGGCTAAGTATTTGTCCAGCAATGGCAATGTGGCTTCTGTGGTCACTCCAAATAGGAAACTAGCGAACTGCTCCCTGAGGAAAGGATTTAAATGAGGACAACTCAAGCACCCTTGCTCTTTAAAATAGCTCTTGCCAAGCTAAGACTACCACACATTGTAGCAAGGTGTGAAGAGGAATAGTGAGGGCCTGGGCAATAGACTTGGAGCCGGGAGAGGTCACAGCTAGAGACTTGTCATCTGTTCCTTATTGACATGCCCGTTGTTGTCCTCTTTGCACAGGCCAACAGAGCCAGCAGCAGAACAGCCAGCCTGATTACAGCAAGGCGTGGGAGGAGTATTACAAAAAACAGAGTGAGTGAAACAGGGCTACTGGAGATGAAATAAACTCTTGCTATAAACAGAGTTGGCTCTAAGCCATTAACTTATCTCTGCCCCATGGCATTACTAGCTCCTATTCCCCTTCTGGTCCCTTTTTGTGTCCTTCTGTTGGTGAGGATGCATGTAGGTCTCCCCCGAGAGCTTGAAATCTTGCTCACTGCTGCATCATTTCAAGGCAAGGTGAGGCCAATGAACTGCATTCCACAGTGGACTGTTCCCTTTCAGGTCCACCTGAAGAAGCTGGACTGTACTAGGGAAATGTTTGCGCATGTACCCATAACCAGACCTGACAGAAGGGCTGAAGCAGGGTGGGGGCTTTCTCTCTGCAGTAGAAGGGAAGCTCAGCACTCTAGTGGGGAGGTGTCTTCTCGCAGGCCTTTCAGCGGAATGCCTCTCTGGCATCTTTTGTGCCCTAGCTTCTGCAGGTAGTGGCTGCTCCTCAGTTGAAGGAGTCAAAGGAAGAACAAAGCAGAACTTCAAAGCAAAAGATCTCTGAACAATGGGAACAATACCTGTTATGCTTTCCAAAGAGCCACACCGACTAATAACCTGCAAGTCTGCTTAAAATGTCTTGTTCTGTCCCAATGGGCAGGTAGCTGCTGTTGCTGCTTTTTTCAGGTGTCTGCACCTGTTGGAAGTGGGATGGTTGCTGTATGCAAACGTGCATATGCTGTGTGCAAACCAAACTTTGCCTTCGCTTGCTCTTGCTGGTGCTCAACTCCCTGTGTTTCCTTTTTGTCCTCCAGGTCACGCTGCCAGTGCTGCTTCTCAGGCAAGTTCCCAGCCGGACTACACAATGGCTTGGGCAGAGTATTACAGACAGCAGGCTGCCTACTATGGGCAGACACTAGGGCAAGCTCAGGCCCACAGCCAGGTCTGTATTTGTGTTCCACTGAGTTATCTCCTGCTGCTTTTCTGAGGGGTCAGTATAGGCTAGCATTACCCCTGGGCAAAGAAGATTCCACCAGCTGCCGTGATATCTGAGCCACACCTACAAAAGAGTGACAGTCAGCTAACTGCAGTCCACTGTACCTCTCCATGGGAAGCTTTTAATACCTGAGTTAACTGGCTTTCCTGGGCACTTGCCTCACAATCCACATGCTGCTATGATCTCTGCATTTCCGAGATGTGTGGACCAGCCTTTCATGAGGGTGCTCACCCAGCTCTCAGGTGGCACATCCGTATTCTGAATTCCCACATGCAGGCTATGACTTGCATGTGCATGTTAGGTATCCTTGTGCCTGGATTAGGTGTTTGCAAATATATAGGGATGTCTGCAGTTCTAATGTCCTATGGGAAAACACATCACCAGAAAAGTGATTGTACTGTGCATTCATGGCAGCTAATTCCATATCTACTTTATCTGTCACTCGAGCTCTGCAGTTCAGTTGCCATCTTTCCAGCTGAGGATGGAGTGGGACTCATTTTGAATCCTACCATCAAAGCTTCTTTGGCCAGAAGTGGCTGTTGCTTGCAAAGTTAGACTTGTTAAGATGAACGTCTCTGGCCTTTGGCAAGATGCACGTATGAACCTCACACGTGCAATTTATGAAGATGCTTTATGAATAGCGCATTAAAATCAGTCAAAAAGCTAGATTACTTACTGGCGTGGTGATGAGTTGCAGGGCGCTTCACCACTGAGTCACTTGTTTCAATAGAGCCCCAAAGCTATTACTAGTGTGTGAAAATGAGGTGGTGTTTTTCAACTAGTACTTCGTTCTTCATTGACATTTCACAATTTTTCTACCAGCTCCACAGTTGGCAGAAAAATTCAGCAAAACTTTTGTGAAGATTTTGATCACGCTTCAACTCGCTTTGTGTCAGTCTTAATTAAAAATATAATGAAAATTGCTCCCTTGGAAGTCTTTTACCAGCCATAATTAGCATGTAATGGGTGCATGGTAACTAGTGGGAAATTACTTTCTGGTCTGTTAATTTCCTATGGGCAGCTATCTCTCTTGGTGCTTCTGTTTGCACTATGAGCAAGGAAACAAATGTTAAGGCTCAGACTTTACTTTTTCACACCCAAAGTCTGGTTAGAAGCAAACTGTTAGGCAGTGTAGAAAAACGTTCACTGCCGTTGACTGTGGCTAATTCGTGGGTATGGCTGTCCAGCACCTTTCATCAGCACTAAAACTCTTAATTCCTAAAGACACATTTGGCCATGTAATTACCAGTGGTGCAGGAACCTGCATGCTCACTTGGGTCCCAGACTTGCTGGAAAAGCCGTGGGAGGGTATATTTAGTGTAATTAGGCTGATATAGATGTAGTATTAAATGGAGTCCCTTCCCAGTCTCCTATTGAAAAGTCTGGGACTGGGGAGAAAGAAATAAAAAGTTACTTGAGGGGCATGGATTCCCAAGGAGAAGCTCAGGGATAGAGGTATTATGGCTGAAGGTATCCCTGTGTGGTATATATCCTCATTTGTTAGAACAGAAAATATGGTGGGTGGAGTTTTTGGGGAGATCTCTTTAGAACTGGCTGCTTAGTAAGGCTGTGTCTACACTACAGAGACTAGGTTGATAGAACCCCCCCAGTGTAGATTCACTCTGCTGATAAGACTTTTTCTGTCTGTGTAGAACTTCCTCCCTGAACAACATTAGCTATGCCAGCAGAGGCACTTGTCCGTAGACAACTGCATCTGTAGTCAGGTTTTGCTGACATAGCTCTGTTGGTCAAGGATGGGAGGGGGGGAGAGGTAGAGGGTTAGCCTTGTCTGACAAAGCTGTGTCAATATAAGTTTAAGTGTATACCTAAGTTGACTTTGTTTCTCTTTCTATGCAGGAGCAGTAGAACAATGTCCTTGTGGCAATTTTTTTTTTTCTTGGAATCATTGTGGAAGAAAACCTTTTTGTAACAGAGGTTTCTAGATTTGCAACATTTTGATGAAGACTTTTCTGTTTGTTTGTGAAACACTAGTTGTAGGATAATCTATACTGAACTTTTCTAAGAATCAGGAACAATTAGTAATGTACTAAACTTATGGACATGCTGGTAATTTTTTGGTTTCCAAATTTGTAAAAACTCCGGGATTCCTTTTGGAAAGAAGCCAGAGCATTACAGGCACCAAAACGCACCCCAGAGCTGTGACATTTCAACATGTGGTTTTTTGTGTGTTTTTTTTTCTTTTTAATTTTCAATCTTTTCTGTTGCAACAGAAAGAGTGGCTTGGAAGTCTTAGGTGGTATGTAACAAATCCTTAAAAAAAAATTTTAAACAGTATTTAAATATTCTTAAATATGTAAATTCATTAAATGTTTTACTTCTAATTTCTTGTATCTTGGCTGTCTTTGATTTTATTGCATTTTTTTAAAAAACTGAACTATCGTATGTATTGTAATTAATTAATTATGTGAATTCTGTATTGAGACAGTTACTGTTTTGCTGTCAGGCAAGGTATGGGGGGAGGTATTTTGTAGGGTTTGTATAATTTCTAGAGTTCTAAAGGGTAATATAAAATGTGATAATTTTTTTAGCAATACATTTTTCATGTCTCCATTGCTGGTTGCATTTATGTATCTAAGACCTCCAAGCTTGTTTAAAAAAACAAAAAACCCTTCCTCTATGCTCTCAGAAATATAAATACTGTTATTTTTAATATTAAAATGAATCTGCTATTAGTACCTTTAACAAACACTGTGGAACATTAAACCATATAAAAGGTAGTAACTATTTTTTAATTCCAAGGTGTTTTTTGCTTTTTTCATTTTTCTTTTTAAATATTTTCTTATCTAATATTTGTCAAATTACCTAGAGAAATAAATGAATCTAGTATTAACCACAGTATGCGCTAAATAATTTTGATTTAATAAAAGGGATATGATTTCCAATGTTTACTGTAGTGTTTCTTGTACAGATAACTGTATTTTTAAAGGAAAAAAACGGAATTGAAGCTATTTTTTCTTGCATTTTTAATTGATCTGCGGGACATTCCGTTTTGAAATGTACTGAAGTTACTGTTCTTGGGTTCTTTACTTATTTTTTTCCTTATAATGCTTGAAATGTCTAACTATAAAAAAAAATGCCATTGGATAATGTTGAGCATGATGTTAAAGTGTTCTTTTTATTTGACTGACAGTTGCATTTTACACTCTATATAATAAAATTTCCACAAGATGTCTTGTGGGTGAAGTATTTTTAGTCTGCTTTACTCAATTTGCTCACTCTCCTCTGAAGGTGTAGTGGGCACGGGCTACCTCTTTTCACCAAGCCCCATCTCTGCCTGCGTACCTGGCGTGAATCACATCAACTTACCTCCAAATGATTTCATGTGAATGCTTTTGGATAACTCTGTTACGTTGACTTGAGAGCCTTAATTCCAAGGAGTTCCAAAATAAGGTACTCTAAATGTAAATGCCTCTGACCAGAGAGATCTTATTTAATAAATGGAAGATTTCTACAAACCAGAACGACATAGAAGCTTTTGTCTATAGTTTTGCATAAATATTTGTATTGCTTGTTAGTGCATCAACAGAGCTTGGTTTTATAATCTACTGAACCTGTTGCTCTTCTCCCAAAACTTTGTCCTCTGTGCTAGGAAATGGAATACTTTGGCTTACACGTGTGCTCTTAGCAGTGTTGCTCTTTGGAACCAGATCGTCGGAGCAATGCCGTCCTCTTAACGAAAAGGTGGAAGGAGTTCACGTCCTTGGGATAGCAATGTGCATTAACCATCGAATATCATCTCCTAGGCAGGGCAACTTTCTCTAGCTGCAACCAACTCATGCTGGGCTGGTATCACTTGAAATAAATCCCTTTTTTATGTGATGTTCATGTCCTACAACTTAACGCTTTGTCCACCCTACTGCCTTCTCAAACACCCAGGCATCTGTAGCAGAATTGGCAGGGGAGAGGGCAGAGAGAGATCCCATCTGTAAAGCAGTGACTCGGAGGCGTATTGAGAGCCGGAAGAAAAGAATATAGCATCTTTAAATACACCTCCAGAGAATCAAGAGAGACGTTGAACGATGGAATAGTAAAAGCCACTTGGAAGGGGAGGGGGAGTTGCAGGAGGAGGGCATAAACGCTGATGATGGGAATGGGAATTGGGGAGAGGGCATTACCGAGAAGACTTCCTTCTAATTCATCTTCCAAGCTCTGTGCCAAAACAGCATTTGGCATGGTTCACAGGGAGCAATTGTGTGATAATGAACCCTAAGGTGTCCATTAATTGAAGACTGAGTATTGCGGGTTGTGCCAAGAGTCATAAATGGCACAGGATTGTGGGAGGATGCATTTTCTTAAATGTATCTGTAAGTACAGATTAGCAAGTCTCCCCAGTGAAATACCCATACTATAAATTATGGAAATATATCCTTCTGATGCAACCTTTTATTGAGGGGGTGGGGCAGTGAAAAGAAATAGTTTGCAAGCCTTTGAAATTTGGCCTGTCATTAAGATGGCGCCTGCAAAGCTGGTTTTTCATCAGCAGTCTGGTGTCCTGGCGGGCTAATGTGCTTGAAATGTTACCAAGTTCAGCAGTTGTCTTCCATTACTGCTGCATGGTCATCAGAGAGTGGGACACTTAGTGCAGGAGCAGTTTAACGTGTTTGGCTGGAAACTGGAGTTTTCCTCTGTATCAGCCCTACAAATGCAGGCAGAAAAGTCTAGAGTGTAGTTTCTGGGGATGGCTGGCACACTTGCAAATCAGACCCAGGAGTCTAGAAGAGGCATAGGTTTTGTCTAGGGTAGCAAAAACTCTACCACATGCTTCTCCAATCCCTCCTCCAATCTTTTCTTGAGGCTCAAGCTTTGTATACAGTGTCGGGTTCTGTAGTTGTGGAATCTGTGGCAAGGTGCCAGGCTGTGAGCATTTGTCTCTCCTTTTAAATGTTTCCTTCTCATGGCTGCAAAGAACTTCGGAACTCGAAGCACGAACTGATGCAGTGCTTGTGTCTTGACTCACCAGCCCCTGGACTTTAGAACGCATGCATGAATGGCCCCCATCCTCTCAATGGAGGTGAACTCAGAAACCTACGGAGAATTGAAAGGTCCATGTTGATGGTTTGGCTGCTGCTGATTTTAGCAGAATGTCTTTCTCCCATGGTCCTAAGTGGCACTGAGTGAGGCCTGGAAGCCAGTATCTCAAATACCCTTCCGACTTCTCCCACATGTTGATGGCCCCTCATTGCTGCAAAACCTCATAAAAACAGAAACCGAATGCAAAGGTGACGGGAATAGAACCCATGCAGTAACTGCCACGTGGTTTCATGTTGAATGAGAATCCTCTTCTTCAAAGGTCAGTGAAGCCAGTGCCACCTTTGCCTGTGGCCTGCTCAGCAGTGTTAAGGGCTAGGGCCTGGGGCCTTGCTTAGCTTCATTGCTCAGCTTTCCATCTCCTGAATTCTTGTTCTTCCCATGACCTTTCCTGGGTGTGTCCCTAACCACCCTTCCGGCAGGGCAGCTCAAAGCCTTGGGGACACTGATGCCAAGGAACTTGGCTCTGGACCTGCCGGTGCTCCCTCTGGGTTGCTCGGTAGGCCGGGAGAGGTGTTTCAGGTGACTGCTGTGGCTCGAAGGGTCTGGTTGAAGGAACCGTTTGGCTCTTGTGCTTGGCACAAGGAGTTGATGAAACTGGCTGCCGGGTGTTAGCTCGTACTTTTGGGTCTTTTTCTAGGATGTGGAGCTGAAGGGTGTGAAGGGATCCTATGTAATGAAATCTGCCCTTCCACACGCAGGGAGCTGCTGTGCAGACTAACCCTAAACAACCCACCTTGGCCTGTGTGGGCCTCATGAAGGCATGGGTGAGGACCAGAGGAAGTGGTCCAGGGCAGTGCCGTGGCCATGAGACTGCTTCCAATCACACTTCCCCCTTTTCCGGCCTCTCTAAGAGGTGCCTGGTTAAACTGGGACCCACCAATGGCTCCATCCTTCCTCTTTATTTTCCCCCTTTCTGAAATTCCCAGGATCAAAGGGGCTGTGACTGGTGACAAATGCAAGATATCTTCCACGCTACTGTATTGGCCACTGTAGTTGACTAGCCTTTGGGCAATACCTGTGTCTATGCACCCAGTGTGGCCAGAGCCTGTCCTCGCCCCTTAGTCTACAACATGAGACCACTGGGGAGCAATAGAAGAGGTAGGTTGTGCGGGGGGCGGGGGTAGGGTGATGTTCAGAACAGCTGAGCACCTAAACTTCATTCCGAGTCTATTGGGACTACAGTACCTCTGGCAAGCTGGCCGTGGGCTTTTAAACATTCTTGTTTATATTAAGCAGGAGTGGGGAACCTCAGGCCCAGGGGCCAGTTGTGGTCCCCAGCTTGCCTGGATCTGGCCCCCAAGGCTCAGGGGTGTCCTCCCAGCATCAGGGAGCCTGTGCTGGCGATCCCGTTCCCCAACGCGGAGCTGGAGCGCACACAGTCTACTAGACTGGGCCCCCTAGGGTCTGGTGTTCAAGGGGAATGTGGGGAGTGTCTTTCTCCTTAGTTGGGGGGCCACATCAGTGAGGGTTGGTTTTTTGTTTTTCTCACTTGTGTGCGGCCCCTGACTGATTTTTGTGTCGGTGGCTCCCAACCCAAAGAAAGTTCCCCAACGCTTGATTTGAAGGGTTTAGTGAGGGGAAGGAGGCAGGATTTTTTCTTTACAGGGACAGGTGTTCTTGGTGCTGCCCAGGTTGGGGAGATATTTGGAGTAAAATGGAGAGAAGGGAGAAAGTAAAGGGACAGGGAAACTGAGGAAGGAGGTACTGGGGACCAGAGGAAGATGTTTCATGTAAATGAGGCACTTGCAAATCATATCTGAAACCTGTGAGCCTGCTTCAGTTACATGCAACACCTGAGCTAGCTAGAGCTGGCCAGTCAAAGGTGGGAAAAGCTGCTTTTGCAAAGGTTTGGGGCATTTTTCCTCAGTCTAGGTATACTCTACTTCGCTTGTTTGTCATTTTTCTCCAATGCCCAAATGAGCACAAAACCCCCTGTGACATTTAATTTGTTTCATTTCAAAAAATGCCACCCCTTCAAAAATTGTATCAGCAGCTGGGCTTTCTAATTAGTAGTTTTAAAAAGAAGTTGAAGTTGTGCCCTTATGAGGGCACAGCAGGACCTAAAAATTCAGGTAGCAACATTTAACCTGAACTTCACTTCTACCTTTTTGAGCTCTTGCAACCAGTCTTCAGTTGCTCTCATCCCTCCTGTCAAACACACTTTCCTACTGTCGTAGATGCAGGTAGAGGTGTAGCATCTTGTAATGTGTATTTATTTTCATTCTTGCACTGAATCAACTCCCAAAATACCATTTTCGTGACGAGCCCTTTTTATTCTGTTTATGCTCAGTGCTAATTAGCAAGCTCTGTGTATTAAGCAGTATGTAGCCTGTTCTGCTTTTTCCTCTGACAGGTACATTTGTAAATGACAACTTTGCTTGAGTGTCTTGCCTAGGCTAATGATGACCCAGTTGGTCTTCTGGACTGTGCTCTATTTACAGAGTATCTTACCATGCAAATCTATTTCAGGGTACTTTCCAATATTGTAAAATTAGTTCCTTTAATTTTGCATGACTTGAAACGTTTCAGACAATGCAAGTTAAAATGAAAAGATGATTGTCTTTTTCCATAAGCAGGTACGTCTCTTCCCCCAAGTACTAAATATTTAATTGCATTAGAATAATGGTATATTTACAATCAGCCATATCAGTGAAACATAAGCGGTTTGAGGAACTCTTTCAGTAATTGCATGTTCTTTCATTCTAAATGTTTGTGGCAGCACAAGTTCACTGGCTGTGTTACTGCCCTGCTTCTGCAGTGTGGTGATTGAATGTTTGTGTGTTCTTGCAATGCTTGATCTGGACTGAAATGAAAGGTACTAGGTGTGTAGCTAAGATTGTAGAAAACACTGTGTGTAATCAGCCTCCAATTTGTGGTATTGTTCCTGCATGTGAGGGTATTAGAGAAGTGAGATGAACATCAACTGTCATAGTCCCTGATTTGAATGATTTAACTGGACTTTAAAATGATCATTGTTTTGGCTTTCAATGGAATTTCTTCTTTTTTAAAAATAACCTAATTTTCAGAGGCTTAGCCAGCCTGATTGTGCCCTATAGCAGGGGTGGGGAACGTCAGGCCTGGGGGCTGGATCTGGCCCCCAGCTTGCCTTGATCTGGCCCCCCAAAGCTCAGGGCCCCTCCCAGCATTGGGGAGCC